AAGCCCTAGCAGACCTGGGCTCGCTCTCTCTGGACCTGAGAGCGATTGGAGATGGGACAGTGCAGGCCCACTTTGCCAGGCTCTGAGGGGTGGGATGAATGTCCTGTTTGGTGCACACAGTTGGGGAAGACAGGAGAAGTGGGTGATTTCATACAAGAAATCCATTGGAGTGCATAGCGGGCTGGATCATCAGGCCCACAGAACACCTTGGGCACATTTGCTCAGCAGAGTCCTTCACAAACACTAAAATCATCAGTATAAGACCTAAAGCATGAAGAAATTTTGATATTATGACACCACAAAAGTAACTATTGCATTGTAGCAATAATGTAAAATACGGCTGCTGGAGCGATACATAGAAAAAAAGAAATAAATAGGGGATTTTTGGAAAGTGGAATTATGGGAGACTTCTAATGACTTTAGTAGTTACATAATATTTTAAAATCTTGCTGAAATACTTTTAGCTGCTTTCACTAAAGTAAGGAGTCCACTCCTTTGTTTTTTGACTTGAGTACTACTGCTCTCTCAATGGTGAGTGTTCCTTTGAATAAGCAAAAATGTTGACTTGCAGAATGAAATCTCAAGGCCAAACTTCAGATTCAGCCTAAGAATGTTTCATTTTTAAATAACTCCACCCAGACTTGATCCCATCAAGGAAAAAATGAGGCTCACATGGACCCTTGCTCCAGTGGTGCCAGTCAAAGATCCCTGAGACGAGGTAATTGGCGTAATGTGATTGAACCTCAGCAATGGCAGGTGACTCCTGCAGCCCCTGCCAGGCCTTTTGTGCGGTCACTGGAAAGCGGGAAATTGCAGCGCACACTTGCCACTTGGGGACTGCTGCTGCATGACTCCAATCCACAGTGCTGGGAAGATTCCATCCTGGGGAACAAGTCGCCTCCTGAAGCCCATGGCAAATAGCCTCGGCAGCCACATGAAGCCCTTGCCCTGACCAGGCTTCCTGGGGGGCCTCTGCCAGGCAACCAGCAAGTGAGTGCCCTGCAGAGACCCTGGACCTACACGAAGCCCTGTCATTCACGCTGCTCAGGAGCCTAAACATGAACCACAGGGCGTCCGCATGTGGCCTGGAACCTAGGGCTGAGTGCCACGTTGGCCCGGAGGCCTCCAGAGCCTGAGTGGGCTGGGCCTGTGTCTGACTCTGGGCAGCCTGGCGCCCACACCTGGGTGCCTGCCTGGTCCTAGGTTTTCCCAGGGCAGGACTAGCGTTAGAGTCCAGGCCACACGGTTTCTCCCCTTGCTGCTCTCTGTGTGGAGGGAGGCAAGGCGCCATGGCTGCCCAGTTCCAGCTGAGTTTCCCACGAAGGGACAAGCACTGGCTTCACCCCTTCCCGACACTCCCTTCCCAGCTGCTGCCCTGCGCTCCTCACCATCTCAGACACGGTATCAGCTGACTCCAGCCTCTGATCAGGAAGCAGCCCAGCTTGACAGACAGACACAGGCTGCCCTGGCCTGGGCCCTTCGTTGTTAGAACTGTGTCGCCGGCCTGCGACAGCATTGACTGGAATGGGGTAACTGAAGGGCCCAGTCACCAGGAGGGCAGAGCTCTCTGCCCCGCACCCACGCCCCAGACTGCTCTGCTGGAAACCCCTGAGGGTCTATAATATTTTTCCAGCCTTCAGGAAGACACTTGAATGTTACAGCGCCCCTGTGTGTTGCAAACTCTCACTTCTCTTCCGGCGGCTCTTACCACTCCCACAAGCACCGCCAAGGACTCCTCCTCATAACCCTCTCTCTTCTCACTCTTGCTCTCTCCACAAGCCCCAACAATCACGACGTCAACCGCCCCCAGCTCAGAGCCTCCAGGTCTCCCTGTCCCTCCTTCCCTGCCGCCACCTCCGGCCTTCCCTGTCCAGCGCTGGACCCTGTCCACACACCCGGCCTCCCCGCCACCCACCCATCACGAGCCCTGCTTTCTTTACTGTGCTTGCCAGTGTTTCAAATGACCTTGTTTGCTTGCATTTGTCCTGTCCCCCTGCGACACACACGTGCACACTGACACAGGCACGCACATCTGACCACAGACACCTACGTGCCTGCACCTCCGGCATCCAAGGCCCACTGGGTGCCCAGCGTAACACACTGCTCAGTGACACCGTGGCGTGAGGAAGGGACGCCAGCCATTTCAACCCTTTCCTGGTCTTCACATCGACCCTTCTGACTTACTCGACAGCCTTTTAAAAAATAATCACTCTGTTTTGGCCTCGGCGACACTGGATGGTGCTGGTTCCAGTGCTTCCAGCCGCTGTCGCTTTGCTTATGTTCCCGCTCCTCCTTCTCCTGCCACTAATCTTCGCCAAGTGTCCCCTTTAGGTTCTCTCTTGGGACTTGCTTTCTTTTCCATTCTCATTCAGGGTTCCGTTCGTTGTCCCGTTTCAGCCAGGCCCTCCAAGGAGTCCTCCAGCTCAGGTCTCCCCGTTGCTCTTTCTGCATGTGCTATGAGTTTCTGAAGAACACGCTCACGGTGACAATATTTTCTCACTCCCTGTAGGTGGCAGACTCCCCCCCCCCCCAGGATTCACCCCACTGTTCCGCTCACCACTTTTTTTTTCTATTTGTTTATGGGTACCAGGGATTGAACTCACCACTGCACGCCTGCAAGCAGGCACTTAATGCCGCTGAGCTAAATCCCCAGCCCCGCTCACCATTTTCTCTGTGGCTGTCAGCCGCTTCCATATCCAGTTAGTAAACAAACCCCTCTTTTGCTTCTCAAAATCTAAAGTTCCATTCTACGACGCTGCCAAATTTTGCCATCCCCTCAGTGATGGTCTGAACTGAAATAGCCTACTTCAGCCTTCTGGTCTACTTCATAGAGACCCGTAACAGGGAGGAACTGCAAGGGGACCTAGCAGGGAAGGCAAAGGAGAGCTAGCCTGCTGGCCTGGCGTGGCTGCCTCAGAAAAGACAGTGAAGTCCTCATCTCGAGGAGGGCCTCTTTGTGCAGGTCACAGGAAACAGGACCCGTGTCAACACTGAGGACAGATGAAGACCAACAAGATAAGAAAGAAATGATGCAAGACAGAGGAGGAGCAGACACTGGTGACAGACACCTTGTGACCTCCCAGTCCTGCTCCAGGTTGGCCCGAAACAAGGTTTCTTGAAGGAGTCCTGCACCACGGCATTCTCCTTGCTTTCTGTCCCTGCTGGGTCCAGATGTCCCTTCTGTGCTGCCCCAGGGAGCCAGACCTGTCACTGTCCTGCATTGTTTATTAAATCATTAACCACTGTGCCCTCCAGCAGTAAGGGAAGGCTCTTCTGGCTGCTGGTGGGGACAGGATCACTTTCAATGATCCAGATACGACTTTGGGGAAAATAAATTGCGGTTTCTCTCGAGAGTCTCTCTCGAGCTTTGCCCGTATTGAAGAAACCACGGTTCTCCAGAGCCTCTCAGGTTCCCTGCCTGGCAGCAACAGGGCTGCACAGTCTACGGTCACCCCCACTTCCTCGGCAGGCAGGGGTGCTGCTCCGGGGCTGCTGCCCCCCAGGCTGGCCTGCAGCAAGGAGGTCCCGCATCTGCCAGAGCTGAGAAACTGGCCTTCAGAGTGCAGGAACCCGGGTGATCTCTTCCTCAATCCTCAGGCCTTTGCATTCAAGTCTGAGTGAACGAAGATGCATCCTGAACCGCTTAGAACTTGAGAGAAAGGACATGAGTTCAGGTTGACTGTGAGTCCTACTCTAGAGATGCATTTTTAGCACCGCATGAATTTTTCTAGAACAAGCACCATTAGGAATAAGTCATGAAAGTCCCCCAAGAGGCTCGCGCTTTACTGCTCTAACATTAGAGCACTTCAGTCTTGATGCTGTGACTCCTAAGCTTCGGGCATCCCACAGTGAGCACTTACAATGCACATGCTGGGATGGGGGGTCCTGCACCGTCCTCTAACTGTATTTTTCTCATTAGAACACAAGTGCCAGGCTTGACAGCCTGGGAATCCCTGTTTTGCTCTGTATCTCTTCATAGTTCAGCATTTGCAGATTCCACGTGTGAGTGAGATTGTGCAGTATTTTCTTTGTGTGCCTGGCCCAGCTCACCTTGGATAATATTCTCCCGGCTCGTCCACCTTGTGGCAAATGGCAAAATGTGGTCTTTCTTTGGGGCAGAGGACACCCACTGTGTGCAGTTATGCACTGTTTCTCTACTGGTTTGTCCATTCCTGGGCACATAGGGTTCTGCCACACCTTGGCCATGGGGACAATGCTGCAGTGAACAGCGCTGTGGGTGTCTGCGTGGGAGGCATGTGGATGTGACCACCCCCAGTGTGCCCAGAAGACGCAGTGTGGGTCATGTGGTCGCTCTGCTTTCGAATTTCTTTGGAAGCCTCTGTCATGATTGCTTGTGGGGAAAGCAGTCCCTCCCTCCTCTCCAACCCTCACCGTCAAGGGTCTCCTGATAACAGTAAGATACCCTTTAACACGAGCCAGGGGGCTTCCTGCTCAAGCCACTTGTTTGCCAGTAGCTGGGTCCAAAGGAGAGAATCCACACTAGCAGACACAAGCCTGGGTCAAAGCCAGTGCTAGAGACACCGCCACTGTCTTTAGGAGAAGCCGCGGGCCAAGAGCCTGGCCTGGGACCACAAGTCCCCTCAGCCTCCTGCCCCATGTCCTTCCCTGCAGTGGGCAGGCACCAGGTGGATGGAGGGAGCCAAACAGACCACCCGTCACCCCAGCCCACTCAGCGTGACCCTGGCCCACTCAGCACTCAGTACTTAGAGGTTCTGGGTGTATGCAAACGTGCCTCAGCAGGGTTCCGAAAGGCTGGTGAATTTCTAACAGTCACATTTAACAAGTTGCTGCTTTAAAAACACACACATATATAAACAGAATAACTACAGGACTGATGACACTGCTAAATCCAGGGGTACAGGCTGAGGTGGGGTGAGGGGCTGCCTCCCTCCAGTGGGCTTTGTGGGGCTCCAGACCCCACTCCCCACGCAGGGTGCCGCCAGCCACTGAGATTCCTTCCTTGACCAGAAGCCCAGCACGCAGCCTGCTCCCACCTACTGCGACATCATAAAGGAGGCAAAGAGACAATTTACAAGCAACCGAAGGGACTTCAGGATGTAAGTGGGTGCTGAGGGGCTGTTCAACACTGTGGAAATTGGCTAAGCTTAGCTCTTGTGCCCAGCGAGAGAAGCTGTAGGGGTCCCGAGGCTGTTTCAGGATGTGTCAAGGACCAGATGTGGATCTCTGTCCCGAGCAGAGCTGAGCCTAGAACCAGAGTGGCCAGGCAGGCTCCAGGGAAGAGGCCCGAGTGCTGAGCAAAACCAGGGCTGGCGTGCAGGAGACCAAGGCAGGGAGGTCGGCTATCACAGGTGTCCTGGGGAACGTTCCCGTTTTGGATGCTTCATTCAAACCCTCCAGGCCAATCTCGTGTTTCCATGTACTAGAGAGCTAGGAATGGGCCACTAGGGAATGTCCATCAGTGCTCACAGGGACAAAGAATTAGCAGACCTGGCTCCTGTGCCAGGTCCCTGGTTGCAGGTGAGGACTGGAAGGTCAGGGCGGCTCACGGGGAGCAGAGGGAAGGGGCACAGTGGGGGCAGAGCGAGTGTAGCCAGAGCCAGCCCATCACACAGGCTGGATGGGAGGTCAGCGCCCTGGCTGCCCAGGGCCTCGCATCCTTGATGCACAGGCACACACATGCTCACTCGCCTGCCTGAGGTCCCTGCAGAGGCTGAGCGGTGCAGCCAGCAGTGCCCCAGGCCCTATGCCAAGCTCCGCAGCACTCCCAGCGGGTTCATGTGAGGAGGGGCTGGCTTGTCTCTGTTTTGTTTCATTCCCTTTTTTCCCATCAGATATGATTGGTGCATTTTAGGTATACATAACGATCATTCATCGTAGAGAATCTGCACCTGTACCTGCACATGACCTTCTCCCCACCCTGTTTCCCGCCCCCCTTCAACCCGTCCCTCCCTCCCCACTTAGAAAAGCTTTGTTTCCATTTCTTCCTCCTCTTCTCATTTTTTTCCCTTTTCCCTTCTTTCCCCCTCCCCTGCCTTGTGGGTCTGGTTTGTAAAGGACTTTTAACAACATGGAAAGGCCTGTAAGTTGTTATCTTATTTTGTCTTTTCCAACTAGGATCTCTAGCTTTCTCTTACAATCTAACTCCAAACTTTGATTTTATAGGGAAATGCAAAGAATTAATGAAGAAATAAAACTCTTAAGACAGGAACAAGATCAAATTAACAAGGAGGTTGAAAGGTTTGTGCCTACTTGATTTGGTAGTGTTTCAAAACATAGTCAATCAAACAAGTGTGTTACACAAAGTCGCACTGGGTTCATTATGCAGAAAGGCATCTCCCAGGGTACCTGCAAGGCAGATTTCTATGGTCGGCTCACCCAGGGTCACACCTTACACTTTAATCCAAAACATCACCTACCCTACTCACTTAATTAAGTGCTGATCACTATTATCTAACTTTACTCCTCCAGCTATGGGATTTAAATTCAAGGCTTTTGAAAAGTAAACCCCTAACCATGCCCTGTCCAGGAAAGATGTAAACTAGAAAACCACCCTGCTCAGCCAGCCACCTCTGGGCCACGTCCTCCTCCTCCATCTTTCTCCTCCGCCCTGCTGCCTCTCCAAATATTTGTCCCCAGGAACCCTGGGCTGATTAACTTGTTTGTTTTATAAATGGGACTATAAAAAGGGAAACCATAGTGCTGAGACTAACCCACTTCCTCCCCACACATGCGGGGAGCAGGCCTGGGGCAGGGTGGCCCAGGGGACCACACCCCTGGCAGCTCGGGGTCTCACTGGCCTCTCCCTCCCACCCGGCACCACTGAGCATGCATGGAAGACGGAGGTAGCACGTGCTCCTGTTCCCCAGTTGGCGGGTGGGTGGCATGATGGGTGATAGAACTGTGGGGGGAGGACCTGCAGCGGCTGAAAAGATAAGAAGTATGAAATATAAATGAACTTTATTTTGAGAATGCAGGGAGAGAACCCCCAACCCCTTGGGGCATGGCATCTCCACCCCGGAGCTGGCAATCTCTCCATGGAACACGTGGAGTGAGGCACATAAGTAGCCTCGGCTTGGGGTGGAACCTAAGGGCAATAGGGATGCACAGGTAGCCCATTGGTCTTAGTTTGGCGCCAGAGGTAGATTCCTAAGGGAGGGGGAGATAGGAGCTCCTGGCTTTACCGGCTACAGTATCCAGCCTGGGCCAAAACCCTTTCATATCCCATCTTATGATTATTATGAAAAGGGGTGAAGATTTCTCTCTTTAACTACTTCCTGCTGGCTGAGGGCGCTGTACTGGGGTCTAGGGGAGTTGACAGGATGACAGTTGATGTCCAGGTAGAAGCTGGTGCCAGGTGTTTTAGCCAGGACAACTTCATTGGTGAATGTACGTATGTTAGACTGGAAAAACAAAGAGACAAGATATTATAAGGAGACATGGCACTGTCATATTTAAGGACTCAGGTGAGGTAGAGGGAAAGGTGCCTTTGATTTAGACATGTCATTCTATCAGGACCATGTTGCGGTAGAAACATTTCCACGGTAAGGCAGAATTCTGAAAATTAAATGTGGGATTAGGAGGAGTGAAGTTATGAGAGGTGCTTAGAGTGAAGTTATGAGAGGTGCTTACTCCCCTCTCTGAAAGCATAAAAGTTAAAAGGTAGGTCAATAAGGTTTGTCTCTGGTATGTATGATGTTGGAGTCTGTAGGCAGTACTGTTAAACAGTCCTGCTATAAAAATGATCATTAATAGAATGTAAGAAATTAGGAACCAAAGTGGATAACAAAACATGACAAACTGTGAGTCATGGCCATGAGACCTTGGTAAGGCAGAGATGAGTAGGAAAAGGACGGTCAGCTCTAGGGCCTGAGTGATGCGAAACCAGAATGGCAGTCTAGCAACTTAGTCCTTGGAATGATTTGCTGTAACAGAACTTTATGTATAAACAAAGTGAGAAGACAGAGTGAGAAAAAGTATAAACAAAGTGAGAAGACAAAATGTATCTGTCAGCCTGTAAAGGGAATAAAAGCATTTTAAGATTTAGGACTGGGACCTGCACAAAATAGACCCTGTTTATAAATGGCATAGGTTGACTATCAATACCCTGTCACAGAGATCGAGGACTTACTATAGTAGCCTGAAAATTTAGGAACAACTCTGTAATGTGACTTGGATTCTGAGATGGACACCCACAAAGGGGGCTGTTGTTGGCCCTTAGCCCCTCTCAGTCTTTGGCAGCCATTTTTGTCGGTGATGATTCTGGCAGTGTCCTGTGAGGGCTAGAAGTTAGGATGGCCCACCCACTCTCTGGTGGCAGGACAGCCCAGCAGCCCTGCAGTAAGGTCTCAAAGAACGCCAGGATGAGGCACTTTTTTGCCTGATGTTTTCTGCTGCATTTGAGTGTGGTCCGTCATGGGGGCAGGTAGCTCCACCTTGTGTAGGTTTGTCTGTCTCAGAACTGCAAGTGTTAAAATATGAAAAACCATATTAAGATTTGAAGGTCAAGATTTGAGATTTGAGAGTTATAATATAAGGTTTGAAGGTCAAGTTTTGCCTTGTTGTTTGAGATCTGGACTACAGAAAAAGGTATCTGTAGAATTAAGTAAGTATGTGGGAGTATAATATTGACATTTTAGGTCAGAGAGCAGGCTTTATCTGGATGTCATATCGCTTTTTTATAGGGTGCCACGTGGAATTAACAAAAAAAGCTTTAGTCTGTCTAAAAAGGCTTTAATGGAAACATTTTGCAGTAAAGGTTTACCATTTATAACCTTAGTTGTTACATAGGAGATTGGCAACAACACAGTACAATAGAGGCAGTAAGTTTAGAATATTACTGGTGGTCCACAACAAAAGGAATTGATAAATATCTCTTAATTTTAGTAGTTAAAACAGGAGATTAGTGGAGGCTTTGAGTGATAAACAAGGCTGGTAAAATTACCAGGTGGCCACTAACCTTGATTAAATAGTTGTTTGAGAATTATAATAATAATAATAAATAGTATCTCTGAGCAAAGCTGAATTGTAAAAAAAAATACCATGTTTGAGCGGAGCCGCAGAGGTGTTGTATGTGTCTGTGTTTAAAGCAGCGCTTGTATTTGGAAGGAGCCTGTCTAGGAAACGCGCAGGGTCCAAGACAGTTTGGAACTCTGAGACAGAGCTCGCCTGTAGAGAGAGCATATTTGAGCTTGGGGGCAGGGGCTCGCGCACGCAGTGCATAGGTGGAACATGAAGGGTGGGTGGGGTGAGTGCCCTGACACAGTGCGCAGGGGCAGGTTGAGATCGCAAGCAGAAACGGGTGCATGGGAAGGGAGGGGCTGGGAGAGCCAAAACCCTTTCAACAGGGACATACTCACCAGACACACAGACCCACAGGCTGCCAAACCTGCCTTCCAGGAGCAGCAAGGGTGACAATACCGCAAAGCTTTGTGAACACCCCGAAACCTCGCGTGCATGTGCCAGGAAGGCAAGGGTGACCTACATCTCAAAACCATAATTTATGGGGGGACCCTAAAAGAGCAAGTTGAAAAATGGGTTGTTTTTATTTTATTTTTATTTTTTGGTCTTTTTGAGACAGGGTCTCTCCCTGTGCAGTTCAGGCTGGCCTTGAGTTCGCTTTGTAGCCCAGGCTGGTGTTGAACTCACCACAGTCGTCCTGCCTCAGCCTCCCGAGGGCTGGGATTACAGGCATGCACTCCCACGCCTGGCATTAAATGGGCTGATTTTAACAAAATGAGATGCACCTGAGCGTGAGGAGACCGGAAGGGGCAAAGCTGAGGAAGGATGCAGGCTCCTGGCAGGTGGGCTGAGAGGGAGTGAGAGATGAGAGTGGACAGGGAGGAGACCTAGAGGGCAGGACCCAGAGGGCAGCAGCAAGCTCAGGCTGGGGACAGAGGCTCCCATGGGTCACAGAGCGCTGAGCCCTCGCTTGGGCGCCTGCCCATGCCCTTGGGGTCCCCGGGGCTAAACGCTTTAGAAACCCAGAAGGGGCCTCTGCAGGGCTGAGCACATGCTGACCCCTGCCTCCACCAGGGGTACCGGGCATCTCCAGAAATCTCCATCTCCATCTCCATCTCCATCGTCCTCTCTCCCAGTTTCCTGGAAACATGACCTGGGACCTGGGAGCCTTTCCTCTGAAGACGACAGTGCAATCAGCAGCACTGCACACCCTCTGTCACCTCTTTCCCTCCTCCCTGCTCCCCTCACCAACACAGCACCCCTGTCCCGAACCCTGCCACCCCGACCCTCAGCCTAAGACCTCTGGGAAGGGCCCTGCTGCCCCTGGGTCCCATCCCTGCACAAACATGTCCTGCATGAGGTCTTGAACAGGAACTGGAAGAGATTCCGGGCCCCTCGCCTGGGTGTCCTCCGCCTAGCGAGCACCCCTGGCTTGAGTTAGCTCCTCCATTTCCTCTTTTTCCCCACATCTTCCCCTTGCTGGTGACCCCTCAGCTCCTGCCAGAACTCTGTGTCCATGCCAGGGCCCAGAGACTGGGGGAGCTGCTTAAACTGATGCTGTAGCCAAAGAGGGTGTCCTGCAGCAGGCGAAGCCAAATCCCCTCCCTGCCGAGTGAATGACCGAGCCTGTCGTTGGTAAAATGGGTAAAAATGGTTCCCACACCCAAAGCTGTCCTAAGGGGAAGTGAACTACAGTGTGTCATATGTTACCAAATGTGCAGCACGGTGAAGCCTGGTGAATGTTGGGTACTTGGTGATCCAGGGACCGTGAGTGTAATTACCAATTGTCTTTATTCCATGGTTAGACTCCAAGCCAAGGCTACCAAGAAGCCTTTGGAAGCTAGTAGTGACTTTGAGAAGTTCCTGCACAAACTGGTATGTTTCCCCTTCCTGGAAACGGAGAGTTCTCTATCCAGTGTCCCCTAGAGGCCTGACAATACCTCACCTGTAACCAGGGTCCCACCCCAGCTTCCGCCTGCACATGTGAAAGGATCGAGGTTACACCTTTAGTGACTTCACACTCCCTTGCTCACCCCTGGCTTCCAGTGAGGGACAGTTAATGTAGCTGAGAACCTGCCGGTACAAGGTGAGTGGAAATGAGGTTACAGCTCGCTCACCAGGCGGCCAGCAGAGGCACGTCGGGGTAGCGGATGGGCCAGAGAACGGCCTGGCACAGGGCAAAGAGCGGTGAGCAGATTCCCAGGTGAGAAGCCAAACAAAAAGAGGTGACCCTCCCTGTTTCTCCTCACTCCCCCTGGCTTCTGGGCTATCCTCTTAGGCCTGAAGGCCTCCACAGATAAGAGCCTGGACAAGGCAGTGGGCAGCTGACCAACAGGTAGCCAGTGCAGTGTCAGACACAAAGCCGTCCCTTTGATGGCTGGTTCAGGTCAAAATTGGGCCCCAGCAGATCCCTATGGGAGGCCAAGAAGTGACTGAGAACTGATGAAGCCCTGAGTTTTCTGTTAAATAGACTCCTCTTTACTCCCACAAAAAAGCACTTTCTCCCACTGTCCTTGGTCTGCCTTTCCTACCGCTGATGGAGACCTGGACACAGAGACGCTGAATCTAGGAACGCAGCCCAGCATGTTGTGCTCACAAACCTTCAGTGCTGAGCGCTGAATGCTGAGTGCTGGGATCTGAGTCCCAGGGACCTGCTGGGGCTATGGGCTCAGCAGCGCCCCAAGGCGCAGGCTCACAGCGCCCCAGGACCAGTGCACAGGCTGGGCAAGTGCTCTGCCCTGAGCCACATACCCAACCCTTTATTTTGGCTGGAGACAAGGTCTCTCACTCACTAGCTAGCTGGCCTTAAACACCCAAGCCTCCTGCATCAGTTGCTGAGACCACAGGAGTGTGCTTGCAAATGTTTGGTCACACACTGTCACACACAACACGGGAATCACAGTGCAAAACAAATGCATTAAGCAAGCAGCCCCTTTGCTGTGATGCAGTATCTTTGAAGAATTATATGCCAACTGCAAAGCCTTTGTGGAAAATGGCAAAGATTAAAAAACAAAGGATTATAAATTCAAAGAACCCAGGTCTTGGTTTATTGGGTTTAAAGACTGAAAATGCTTTTGGCAGTTGGCTTTGCACTTTCCCGGGTGCCGGCCTATTCACTAAAAAGGGAAGCACATGGGAAGCTGTTAGATGGGCTTCGGCTTCCTTGCACAACTGTGGCTTGTTAGGAAATATCCCAACCACCTTTGCCTCGGCCTCTCTGAAACTGAGATGCAGAGGTCAGGCCCACTCTGAGTCTTACAGTCACAGAAAATAGAGAAGTGTAATAATTTTCTAGATAATTCAAGTCATACACCCCTTGCTGTCTCTGTGACCTGGCTATTTCAGCCAAACACCAACACGTTCTGGGCTAAATCATCACCTAACTGAGGAAGGGTTCCTGTAGCCTGTCCCCGAGAGAAAGCCTTTCATTCCCCACTGCCACGTGTCCAGACTTCTTTGCCCACTCTTGACAAATGTGTGTGGGTGCTCACCAACACCACGACCCAGAGGATCCCACCCACGCCCCTGCACGCTGTCCTCACACCAGTCCACACACATAAAGCAGCCTCCCACGCACAGAAGGGGGTGTGGGGCCTGGGTGGGGGTTGCCAGAACAGGACTGGAGAGGCGTCAGGGAAGGGTGGGGTAGGGGGGGAGGAAAGTCTGTTCCAGAGACAAAACCAAATGTCCTGAATCATCAGCACATTAATTCTTTGTTCCTCTATGAAGTGATAGATCCAAAAGAATGGAAAATGAGAACTGCACGGCTTTTAAGACAAGCTTTGAAGGAGCCTTGAACTTTTTCCCTGAATCTATCCTTTAAACAGGTGGTCCTTACCATCTTGGTAATTGGGAAATCTTGCGGCTAAGGAAACCTCTGACTCCGCATCGTGTGTTATTTCCACAGCATGTCGACGCTAAGTTGAACAGGGAATACGTCACATCCATGGGATCATCATCGTCAGCAACCACAGAGGAATGCGAGTCGGAGGAGGAAGAGCACGAAGAGAAACCAAAGGTGACCTCCACGCAAGAATAATAGGCAGGACTCGGTCATGTGCTTCCATCGCAGCGTATATTTAATTCAAGTCCAGTCCATGTATTAGTGTTTGACCATTCATCTTAAAATCCCAAACTAATAAACCTTAGTAAATCATCTGTCCAAGCATAACCTTGGCTTGTATTGGGAAAAAAATCTTTCTAAGATGGAAAAAATAATCATTATAAAGCATAGAGAGCTTTCGACCTTTTTTGGAAATGATCTTGATAATAGCAACCATTCACATAATATAAAACAGAGAGAGGATTAATTTACTGTGGCATAGGACGTCCTGCCAGTTCCTAAATGCCCTGAATAGTTTCTCAGCAATTTCTGACATTGTTTAGGCCTCCAGGAACACCAGAGCCCCGCCTCCGGGCTTGGTGGCGAACAGGCCGTGCTGCCCAGGCGCCTCACCGCGCCCGCTCCCCTGGTAGTAGGCTTCATGCACCCGGGCCAGGAATGTGGGCAGTACATCCGCTGGCACCAGGGACACCGTGCAGCCGCCCCAGCCCGCGCCGGTGAGCCTCGAGCCCTGCGCTCCAGACCTCCTGTAAAAGGAGAGGGACAGATTAGCACCAATGACAGTGACAGCCATTGCTAGATGCTTGGAGAACACACAACCGGCCCCAGCTGAGACGGCCCAGGGGTTTGGGGTGATGTCAGGCAGTTTGGAACATTAACAAGTGTGTGCTGTATCAAAACGTGGTTTTGAACTTATTCACTGCATCAGTTTCAACAACAGTCCTTAATGGTCAGCAGCAACCCTGTGTCATGAGCGCTGGCCATGATGCCCGTGGCACCCTGAGTCCCTGTGCAACCCCTGGAGGCCTGTGTAGCAGCTATCAGGAAGCCAGGAAGAGGGGTGAAAGGAAGGTGGGCCACAGTCACGGTCAGCATCGGGAGCTAAGGGTGCTTGGACTCAGGTGCTGCCTGGTAGGCGTGGGGCTTCCCCCGGGGCTGCTCAACTGCAGCTGAAGGCTCAGCTGTGTCACACAGAGGAACCAGGCTCTGGGGCCCAGTGCAAGCTGGGTTCCAGCCCCAGCTTGGCAGAGAAAGAACTATGTGGCCTAGATTTGCTCTGAATAATTTCATCCGCACACCTTCCCTGTGCTATTATTATTATTATTATTATTATTATTTATTTTAAAGAGAATAAAACCTAAGAAAATAGAGTAAAGCCAATCAAAACAAAACAGCGAAAGTGGTATGGAACTTCAAAACAGGATACTAGGAAATCCGCAATGGCTACCATAGTATATCTTGTTATCTTCACAATAGCTGTCCACACCATCAGACATAGTAAAATCAAATAAAACCAAACAGAATAAAACCAATCAAAACAGAACATTGAATAAAACAAAACACTAAATTGGAACAAAACAAAATAATGAGAAAAATATTGGATATCAAAAAAGCAAGACAGAAGGAAATCCCCATAGTTGCTATATTGCATACTGTTATCCTCGCAATAGATGCTCAGAATACCGGCTTTAGGCTTACAAAGTCAATCAAACAATACAAGCATTTAGCTGTTTTGTACTTCAGTTGCTCTCAACTCAGTCTGTGATTACTGGAATCAGCCACTTGCTTATGGGTGGGGGTGAGGCGGGTGTTCCTGCCTGTCAGCCCTTGTGCTGGTCAGCTCACAGGAAGGGTGAACTGGCTTCTCGCTGCACTCCTCCCAGACACCCCCACCTCCACCCCACCCCCCCAGCCCCTCTAACCCCCCACCCCCGCGTGGCTTCTGCTGACTCACGGAAAGGGCAGCCTCCCCTGCTCCTTGTTGAGCAGATCGACAGCTGACTACTTTGGCACGGGGAGAGGTGTCCCATTTCGGAGATCATTTTAGTCACCATCAACCAGGCAGTTTCAAAAACGAACAGCCAAACCCAAGCCAAAGGCCCCAGGCAATGCACAGGAGCACTCGTGAAAAGAGTGATTTGTCTCAGTAACAAAAGTTAACATATATTTCCAATTACCTCCTCCTAATAGAATTTACTCTGAACTAGCAGCAGATTAAAAACTGCATAATTAATTTAGTACACTTTTGCTCCTTTCTACCACCAAAATGAGCTATTTTACTTCCTAGAAAATATTAATAGAGCATTATCTTCGCTCTAGGAATTTATTTCCCCTCAGTGATGCTCTTAATGTTTTTCCTTTTCCATCACCTGTCTTATTTATGAAAATACGCCACTCACATGAAAGCAGATACTTAAAGAAAGAAGAAATTTTTTTTATACTGAGGATCAAACTCATGACCTCACGCTTGCTAGACAGTCACTTATGCCACTGAGCTAAATCCCCAGCCCAAGAAAAAAGAAAATTTTTTCTTTTTTGTCTTTTTGAGACAGGGTCTCGGTATGCAGTTCAGGCTGGCCTTGAGCTCACTTTGTAGCCCAGACTGGTCTCAAACTTGCAATGATCCTCCTGCCTCAGCCTCCTGAATGCTGGAATTATAGGTATGAGCCACCAGGCCAGGCTTGAAAAAAGAAATTCTTACAAGGAAAAAGAGTTTGTAATCTCTTCATGTCCCTCACACATTCAGTTTAGTACCTCACTGAGCCCAGACTCCTTTTGTTTAGACTGCAAAGTTCTGACCCTGGCACTCCAGAATTATTCTGAGTTCTTAGCCTGGCAGAGGGTTTGTTTAAGTTTGTTGATCAAAGAAAAAAAAAAAGTTGTTCTATGGTGTCACATCAAAAACTGTCTCCCATTGTGGAAAATGCATGGAGAAACTGAGGCATCCCTGAATTATCTCTAAAAGACCCTAAACCTGGGCCTCACGGGCAACTGTTCTGACTAGTTCTGGAGTGGACAAGGTGCTCCTTTGTTCCCTGTGACCCCAGCTGTGCCGTTTGCTGGACGAAGCTCACCAAGTCTTTGCTGATCTTCGGTGGACTTCTAGCCATGCTGTCTTATACTGTGTCATTTGAACAAGTTTTGAAGGCTATGGATTCAAAGCTGAACCTACAGCAAGCGGGCACTGCTTGTAGTCTGGCTATAGTGCCCATAGAATTTGGTCAGAAAGACTGATTTTCTCCAGAGCCTACCAGCAGCAAGAAGTCTGTCTAGGTAAAGTGTTCGCCCTGGCCCCCAGAAGCTGTCTCAGAGATGCAAGAGATACAGGGGAAGAAAGAGGGGAAGGAGGGGCCCTGTGCCACAAACCAGGAAGAGGGAGGTGAGGAATTGTGCCTTCCGTTTCAGAGCAATTGCATTTATTTAAAAATTGGCAAATATTCTCGTATGCCTGGAATGGGTATTAAACTGCTCCAGGAAGTCCTGAATTTGGGGACAGATCATATCCACCTCTCTAGCTCCAGCCTGCACAGTTCCAAGTATCTAGTTCTAACAAACAGCTGTTGGACAACCAAAATCGTTTTAAAATGTAAAAATCTGTGTTATACAGAAATATAAGCAGCTGGTAGTACGCTCTTCACCTGAAAAGACACCCAGAATTCTCCGGAAACTGGTGAGAATCTCAGGCAAGCAGCTTCCAGCCCAGTTCCTGTGGCTGTCACAGCCAGGACAGAAACATCACACTTGCATTGCCAGGATTCTAGAAACCACATCATTCAGATACTGAATGAACCAGAAAGAATAAGAAAACACACTTCGGGGCCTTCTTTTGGAGTGGGAGCCACCAAAGGCCACTAGAGGCAGCTGCTGTCTGTGGGGGACCACCCGGACGACTCTCTTGAACAAAGAGCAGTTACCTCCACTCTGGCTAGATCTGGCCCTGTCTCCACGTACCTATATGTACAGAACTGGTTAAGCCATTTCCTGTCTCTTCAACTGGCTCTATGCAGTGGAAGTAGGGCTGGCTGAGGTACTGACTGTAATCTTTGAAGCTGGGTGATAGTGGCTATTTCCCAGCCCCTAGACTCGCTAACCAGGGTTGAGCTGGGCCAGGGTGCAAAGCCACCACTCCAGGGCTGTTGACAGGCTTTGAGCCTTGAGATCAGAGGCTATGGCTCCCCAGGGCGGAATAGTTTGCCCATCAGAAGCTGACACACCAAAACATTAATGCTGCCTCAACTGTGTTATGCAGATCAGCCTTCCTGCACATCCTTCTCTCTGAGCTAGCCCAGCTCACAGCACTCACACAGTTCCCGCTTTTCTCACAGCCATGCATCCTCCAGCCACACACCCTCCGGCCACCCATCCTCTGGCCACTGATCCTCCGGCCATGCATCCTCCAGCCACCCATCCTCCAGCCACCCATCCTCCAGCCAACTGATAAAATCCACGTTAGGCCCTGGGCCGAGGCCTGTGTGCTGGGAACCCTCATCACAGCCAACTCAGGCTCCTTGGCTGCCCATAAATATAAATATGTCTCGGTGTCCTTATTCTCGCCACGGGCTGCCCATAAGTGGCGCTACAATTCCAATAACGTTTCCATGGGATCACAAATAAATTTCCCAGACCATGATGAGGACAGGAGTGGGGTCTCCACGGCTGTCACTGAACCTCAGTAAGCAGGACCCACGGGAGAGTGAGCCCTGTGGTAGCTTCGTGGGACGGTCCCTCCTTTCCTCGAGGGTGTGGAGTAGCACTTCCGGCTATCGGGAGGAACACAGCTGGGTGCACAATCATCCTGGCCTGGACCCTTGTCAGGTGTGGGGGCCCAAGAGAACAAATCCAAGAGAAGGCTTTGCACGAAGACGTGGCAAACTGACTTCTGCAGCCGGTCCATTAAAATTGTTATTTATCTTCCTTAACAGCTTGGGCAATCATACAGCGATGAATCTTCTCTGATTTCAACAAGTGTCAAAACAGAAATAATAAGCATTCACTATTTTTATTTAAGTGAATTTCAGGGAACCAGTAACAAATGAGTTGTCTCACATCTAATTGACTCGGTTTCAAAGTTTTCTTGCTGCTCAATAAATCTTAGAGATTTATAGTCTTTTCTTTAAACTCACCTTTTGTTCACTTGAAAGATTTTATAATTGAGCCTACATCAGTTTTTCCTTCATTATTTTGTTTCACATAAAACTCTAACACTAATTTAATTTAATTTTAAAACAACAGACTCACTATGAACATTCATTTCCTTCTCGCTCCCTGGTCCTCGCTGGAGATTCTACACTGACGTCCTCTCTGAGAGCAGGACACGATTAGGCCACAGGCAACCAGCAAGCGTCATCCGTCCTTCAGTCCCTCCATCCCTCCAGCCCTCTGCTGCC